AATGAAAGAATAGTTTAGAACCATTAATTAATCTGCATCATACATCACTACTACTTCATAAATTAAAAACAATTAGAGCTGAGCTGTTCACATGAAGACGTAAAAAAGTTGTAGATATTGAAATTCTCATGAATTAAAAAGTCTTATGCCTTTATCTATTTCACACAGGCGGATATTGCATGAATTTTTCTAATATTGATCTAAAAATAATTTTATGAGAGGGATTAGGTTTTGTTTGGAATTTTTTTTTTTTTTTTTGCTTTATAAAGTTATTTTTTAGTTTAATTTTTTTTAGAAGCGGGAAAAAACAATAATCTAAAGCTGATCCACACAAAGGCTTAATTTGATACCAAATTAAAATAGATATTTTTATCCCAAAAAATGATACCAAGTATTAGATCCTTTTCTCAATTTTCTTTTCCATATCAAATATATTTGCTATAATTAGTTAAAATAACCCAAGATAATAAAAAAGACAAATATAATCATAACAAATTTGGAGAAAAATTAGGTGATGAAAGGAAGATATTCTCATTAAATGGATTTATATATAATGTATTGCATTTATTTAAAATAAATTTAAAAGTTAAAAAATTAAATATCTTATTGTAGTTAATATTCTTCTTTCTTAGCTAATTTTGATATTTTTAGTAACAAACCAATTAAGCCAATTAAAATTTTCATGTAGACGATAGTGAAAAGTATGAACACCTTTAAAGAAAGTTTTAAAAAAGTAAAAAAAAAAAAAAACAAGCATCATATGGAATCAGCGATTATGATGAAGAACTGCAACGGGAATCTCGACGGCGAACTCGGTGTAACAGAAGACGGAAAGCATGGCGGAACTCCGGAGACAGCGAATGATAGAACCACGGCAGGACCATCGTCCTCCTTAGCTTCCTGGCCGGTTAGAACGAAGATCCCCGTAATCAGATTTCAGAAAGCAGTAAGTGATAGAGGGATTCTGATCATTTCAAGATAACTTTTAATTCATTTTCTGATCTTATTTATTATAAAACTTAATGTCGAATAAAAGCAGAGAAACTTAAACATAGAGAGATTTTCTGAGAATATAAACGACAAGAAAACTCAATTTTAGTTTATTGGTTTGTGATTTTCGATAATAATCAAGAAGTTTTGAGTTCGAGTCTTACATATATGACGTGTGTGTGAATTTGTCTTAATTGATCGAAATGTTCTTAAAAACAAACTAGGAGGGGAATTCGATACCTAAAGGAAAGGACAAAGGGGCTTGAGAAGGGGAGTTTGTTCCTTGCTGGAAGATTATACTTGTTGGGGATGAAAGTAAAACACCGCAATGAAACAAATAAAAAAAAACTAAAATATATTGGAAAATAAAAGACACTAGGATTTAACGTAGAAAAAAAGATGGAGTCTTCAAAACAATAGAGAAAGTCAAATATATATCACCAAGAGATGCCACACTTGAGAAAAAACGAGAAAGAAAATTGTTTAGTCGTTCACCTTGAAGCGTTGTTGCGCCAGTTTGCAGCGATGTGGTGCCAGTGTGGAGCGTTGCGGCGCTCAAACCTTTGATCTCGATCTGTCTAACAATGATGTGGCAATACATAAAGCTGTGACGTCAAATCTAGAGCATGGTAGCGCTTCGCTCTGTCATTTCTCCCAAAAAAACTCTATAGTGCCGGGGCGCTCGGGTATACAACGTCGATGCATGGTACACAATGTCGAATATTAATACAACAAACGAATTGATGTCCACGATAATAATACAACCCAATTGATCATCACAATTAGATTTTACATATCTATCATCCCTCGCATAAATATTTCTATTTGTGTTGATGGATACCTGCAAATAATGAGCATTTAATATTAAACAATACATAAATCCATACAAAAAAATTCATCAAAACAAGTAATTCCACATGCAAATTCATATAAAATTTTGTTTATATTATATTTTTTTCTGTGGTAAAAGTCTTATATTTGTTGCGTATGTTTTTTAAATAATTGAGATTGACCTAATAAAAAGCTATTTTAATAATCCTCTCTTTTAAAAAAAAAAATTTAATGACCTAAAATCAACGTGCAATTAAACTTGATCACAATGGCTCTCTCTTAATAATAATAATAATACTTTTATTAACTAACTTTACTGGCACATTATTTCACTCTTTTACGTTCTAATTGAGACATGACTGATCTTGATTTGTTGCCTGCCAGTCACAACCAATGTGTCTTATGTTCTAAATTTGCGTATATATATGAGTTTGACTTAATCAACTCAAAAATATCAAAAAAATATTCCGATGGAGCTTTTTTTTTTGGACTTTAAGTATGACTTTATTTGAGACAATTGTCTTAGTGTTTTCGAAAATAAATTTTTTGTAAAAAAAAAAATCAAAAACAATATAAAATTAGTAGTCAAAAGCTATTTAATGTAGACTGGATCGTTGGAAGAAGAGGATGCTTGAAGGATTTTTCAAGAGCAAGATAGCAAACCAAGCACTAAGCTTCAATTTATATAATATTCATCATATCACCTCCTTCCTCTTACACATCCCATATATATACTACTCAAGTAGAGAAAACCTAGAGAATACTAGAAGATTCTAGAAAACTTGTAAAAATCTATAGTAAGCTAGTCCTAAGGAAAAACTTAGGCTATAATGTTCCACATCATTCTCCCCTTGCGTTCAAAAAGATCGACTCCATTCGAAGCTCGTCATTGGGAGAGAGCTAGAGGTGGACATCCCAATTAACCAAATCCCTTGGTCGAATAAATGCATACCCATAAGGCCAGAAACTTCATAAACTTTAAACATGTTAACACTTTCTAGGTGGTCCAGAAGTTTTTTTGGCTTGGCATGATCCAAAATCAGGACATGCATATTGATAATGCCAAACAAGGGCACTTTCTTTAGCTTCAATGCTCGATCCATCTATTGTTTTAGTGTATAGCTACATGACAGGTTTAGCAATCGGCTTCCAGTCAAAGTCTAGCACGGGTACACATGTATCCCATTCCGACTCTTGATTTTGCCTCATAAAGAAGCCGTGTTAATCCCCAAGTGCAAGGTTGCTACAAGGTGAAAACTTTTCTTTACCACTAACAAGAAATACCAAGTTGTCTGGATCCCTACCCAAGCTATTGAAGTATTGAGGATGCTTATAACTTCAGGAGTAGGCTTCTTGCTGATAAATGTTTGAGACATCGTGATGCCATCATATTCTAGAAGGATAGTTCAGTTTTTGGTTCTATGGTATGTTGAAATAATATGCTCAACATGAAGTTTTTTAAATTGGGGTCAAGTGCATTAATGACCCGGAAGCCCAAACCAAAACCAATGTTTAAGCACCTCATCCTACCATGGTCTCAGTACGTCCTTCCCAAGTATGCCAATGTTGTATCCATTGGTTTGGGCTTCAAGGTCATTGCACTTGACCCCAATTTAAAAAAACTTTCTATTAAGCACATTGTTTCAGCATACCATAAAACAAAAAATTGAGCTATCCTTCTAGAATATGATGGCACCATGATGCCTCAAACATTTATACGCAAGAAGCCTACTCCTGAAGTTATAAGCATCCTCAATAACCTCGGTAGGGATCCAGACAACTTGGTATTTCTTGTTGGTGGTAAAGAATGGTTTTCACCTTGCAACAAACTTGCACTCTTTATGAGGCAAAATCAAGAGTCGGAATGGGAAACAAGTGTACCCATGCTAGACTTTGACTGGAAGCCGATTGCTGAACTTTTCATGCAGTCATACACTAAAACAACTGATGGTGGATCGAGCATAGAAGCTAAAGAAAGCGCCCTTGTTTGGCATTATCAATATTCATATCCTGGTTTTGGATCATGCCAACCCAAAGAACTTCTCGACCCCCTTCCTCTTACACATCCCACATATATACTACTCAAGTAGAGAAAACCTAGATAAACCTAGAAGATTCTAAAAAATTTGTAACAAACTATAATAAACTAGTCCTAAGAAAAAACTTCAGCTATAATTTTCCACATCACTATCCCAAATGAAACCTAAATTAAATTTATATACTTCTTATGAAACCAACACAATATCGTTTGATCGATAGCTAATAGACCAATACGAAATGAGTTATTTATAGCAATAATTTTATATTTTTTATAATTATCGATCATAACACATGAGAATTCCACAGCCGTCAAATGAGCGAGCAATTATTATGTCCGGTCAAATCCGAACGTATCCAAATATATACCGAGCAATACCGAGTGTTCAATACCGAGTTTTAGGTGATGTGGGGCATGATTATTAGTCTATAAACACGTTCGATGACCGGACCTAATAATTGCTCTAAATGAGCACCGTAACAAAATTCTAAATATATTACAAAGCCGAGCGTCCGATTGGAAGTTTGAACGGTAGCACGAGTGAATTATGCGCAGCGGCGAAAAGTCCACTAGAGATTCGGAATCTGTTAAGTAATTAGAGCCGTCCGATCGAATTAGAATATTCAATTCCCATTTCCCAAACTCCCCGCATGATTCGCTCATTGCGGATTCTCCTACCGTCGAAAATAACTCGCCGCGCCAACTCATGGTTCACACTAATCACCCCATCTCACCGTCGATACGCCGAACAAACAGATCCGACGGTCAAAATCAGTTCTCAAACGATTGGAGCAGGGAGATCAACTGCCACGTGTCTGTCAAATATTACTGGCACAGTGCTAGGTCACTCGGCGGCTCGCGTTGCTGTTATATATCCCTCGACCCTCGCTTATCTCGCGGTCCGAGAGTTTAAGCTTTCTTCGTCTCCCTTCTCCGGCGATAGTCGGAATCTCACCGGCGGATATTCTTCGGAGGTAGGCCGGCGTAATGCTCGCTTTTTGTCCGTTGGATTAACTCAAACATAAGCTATTTTCCACTTGATGCATGTTTCACTTGGATTCCCGTCGTCTTTTACTCTGAATTTTTTTCTATAATTTCAAGCGTTCCGTCTGATCTACACCCTTATTAGTTTCGTTATTTTTTTAATCTCATTCATGAATGATGCTGTTCTCGGCGTTTCGGATCCGGAATTCCTTGGATTCTAGCGTAATGGATCATTGCTTTTGAAATTTCTCTGACCTTTTACCACAGTAGATTTATCATATAAGCAATTTTTTTAAATGAATTTTGCATAAGGAATAGCTTGTTTTGATTTAGGGTTTTGGAGATTTATATTTTTTAATATTAAATGCTCATTATTTGCGGGCATTCATCAAAACAAAACGGAATAGTTAAGCGAATGATGATAGATATAATGCTCCGTTCCCGCAGAGGAACACACTCCCCTTCCACGGCCTCTTTGCCCTTTCCTTTAGGTAACGAAATCCCCTTCTTGTCGTTTATATTCATCGAAAGTCTGTTTAAGTTTCTCTGCTTTTATTCGAGAAGAGGTTTTATGATTTAATAAATAGAATCAGAAAATGAATCTCAAATTCTCTTGAAATGATCAGAATCCCTCTATCACTTATTGGTTTCTAAATCTGATCATCGATTCGTCTTTTTTTTTTTTTTTTGGTTCGAAAAGACGCCGTTGAAATCGATTAACGATGGGAACTGGAGGAGATGCCGGTGGAACAGCAGCAAGGAGGCGGGGGTGTTCGTGCACGAAAGATGATTTCCTACCAGAGGAATCCTTCCAGAGTTGGGAGAATTACGGGCGCGCGCTGAGGGAAACGGGGATGCGCCTGCGAGATCGGGTCTTAACGAGATCATTGGAGAAGAGCGAGCTTACAGAGGTGAGGGCACGAAGCGGGCACGAGATGAAGAAGAATCTTTCTTGGTGGGATCTCATCTGGTTCGGAATCGGCGCTGTCATCGGAGCCGGGATCTTCGTTCTCACCGGCCAGGAAGCCAAGGAGGAGGCTGGTCCTGCCGTGATTCTATCATTCGCTGTCTCCGGCGTTTCCGCCATGCTTTCCGTCTTCTGTTACACCGAGTTCGCTGTCGAGATTCCCGTTGCAGGTATTCTTCTTAATTGCTGATGCCATACGATGCTTATTTTTTTTTAGTATTTCTTAACTTTTTTGCTTATAACTTCCAATTCCTTTTTCGGCACCTACTATTTCTTTTATCTTCTTTTTTTTTTTAATTTTTTTGACACTTTGCTTTCAAGGTGTTCATACTTGTCATTATCGTTTACATGAATATTTTAATTTGCTTAATTGGTTTGTTACTAAAAATATCAAAATTAGTTAAAAAAAACAATATTAACTACAATATAATATTTACACAGCTCACCTTGGCCTGTTGGTTGAGAGCTTTTGCTTCAACTAAGAGGTCCTGGGTTCGAGTCTTTGTGTATGCGTGGTGTGTGTGAGTTTGCCTTAATTGACCTAAATGTCCCAAAAAAACTACAATAATATTTAATTTTTAAACTTTTGAATATATTTAAAATAAATGCAGTACATATATATTAATTTATCTAAAAAAAACTTAAAATTTATAAATACATTTAATGAGAATATCTTCACTTAATTACCTATTTTTTCTTCAAATTAGTTAGGATTATATTTTTCTTGCTTTTGTCATTATCTTGAGCTGTTTGATGGAAAGTTGTAAATAACTTATTATAGTAAATATATTTGATATGGATAATTTTTTAGAAAAGAATCTAATTGGTAATTATTATTAAAGAATCAAAATAGTCTTAATTGCATAAAAAATATTAAATTGGTCTTTGAATATTTAAATAAGAATCAAATTAATCTTTCTCATAAAATCATGTAAATTATTATTTAAAAAATCAAAAGATGAAGATGAAACTTTTAATATTTGGAGAGTCTAATCAAATTTATACATGAAAGTTCTTCACTAATCATATAATTTAGTGATGTTTTATCTTCTATTTTACATATGATTTCACATAATTTACTAAATTTGTTTAATTTTTTCAATTATCTCTTTTAATACCTTGTTTTGTTATAAGTGTTGAAGTTTTTTTTTTGGAATTAAGATAAATTACTTACACCGGAAGATTGAAGTGCAAAGCTATAATTAATAAAAATTTCATCGCATTTCCTCCCGTGTGAAACTGATAAAGGCTTAGGACTTTTTAATTCATGAGCATTTCAATTTCTACAACTAGGCCCACTTGTAGCGTTTGACGACTCTGGGTCTTCATGTGCACAGCTCAGCTCTTATTGTCTTTAGTTAATTCAGTAGTGGTCCGGCGTCCATAACCATTCGGCGCGTTGACGTTTGATAGGATTAATTAATGGTTCGACTGTTAGAAGTTAAAGCACATTTAATGTGCCTAATATTCTTTCATTTCTTTCAAATTGTCTTTCTCGATCACTATGCTTTTACGTTTTAGTTATTGACTAATCTGCTTCTTGAATGCTTCTACTTAGAGAGCGAGAGAAGGGGCGGGGAGAAAGAAAGAGAGGGAGAATAGATTTTGGAGAAAAATAAAAATAAAATTTTATTCAATTTTTTTCCCAATTTTACATAAAATTCAAATATTTACTTTTATAACAATAAGAAACAGGTAAGATAAACCTAAAGAATAAAATAGCTAAAATTATACAAAAATACAACATAATATATCATTTACGTGATGCCACTCATTTTGATAGATTAGTTAAGAGTTTGACTATCAACTAAGAGGTTTTGGATTTGAGTCTTGCACATACGATATGTGTGTGAGTTTGCTTTAATTTACTCTAAATGTTAAAAAAAATCACTTGCATGTTTAAATATTCAGGATATAAAACAAGAAAATTTCATGGCCAAGTTTTATATAATTTTTTTTTGCAAATGAATATAATATGTTCATATATAAAAATTATTAATATTCTCTTTAATTAATGATGATTATAATATAAAATTTAAAGCATAGCATAGGTCTTTTGTGGTTGTAAACTTGTAAAAGATTAATATTATATTGGTCTTATATGATTTTAGTTGATAATTTCATAGAAATATTGGAGATTGATGATTAGGCAATTGAGACAAACTCGTAAAGGTATCGCATACGTAAGATTCAAATCTAGAACATTTTAGTTAATAGTCAAAACTCTCAATTAATTGATTAATATGAGTTGCTTCACACAAGTGATTATATTGTATTTTAGTACAGTTTTAGCTATTTTGTTGTTTGACTTATCTTGCATGCTTCTTAGTGTTATAAGTGGAGATTTTAATTTTATGTAAAAAAAAGGGGAAATTTTGAATAAAATTTTTCATATAAATTGAAAATATAAAAAATGAAGATATAATTCAAAACAAAATCTTGTATTTTATAATAATAGATAAATTGAAAATTATTACAAGCTTATTAATTTATTTTGTATCTTTTGATAATGTTGCATTACAACCTCATTAAGAATCAAATCGAATATATCTTTTTTAATGTAAGGTACTAAATAATTATTGAGTCAATCATCACTCATCATATTATACAATCAATCTTTGATAATCTTCATTGCAAAAATTGCTCTATTCATTGTAGAAATAGCAACTGGTAAAGTTAATGTTAAACTAATTTGTCTATAAACTAGAAGATACATACGATTCTTCTTAACCTTAACAATTTGCTTTAAAGCTCAACAATAATATTTAGAGAGGAGAACTCATCATTGATATGCATATTAATGATATAAGTAGATAATTGACTTTTAAAAACCACAAAGTAATGATAAAAAAATCACTTTGGAATAATTTTGCTATACATATCAACTTTTCTCATCATAAGTTTTGAAGAAATCAATTGAATTTAATCATGTCATACAAAGAAGAATCATGAGGAGAATTTTCTCGATTAGTTGACCCGAATTACTCGTCATATCCACGAAATGATAATTCTTTGTGTAAAAGAAATTGAACACAATCAACTACAACATTTGACATGACATTGCAATCTTTTTTGTTCTTCTCATCTTTGATCAACCATAACGTCGTAAGTTTGTGTTCGTGATTTTTCAATAAATCTTTACATTTTTGTCTTATCTTATTATGGTCACTATCATACTCTCCAACATAAGTACATGACTATGTAATTTTTCTTTCTTCTTTCAATTTCTAAACCCTTCTCGAATAAATGACTCTTCACCAACTTGGCCTTTCATAATTTTTTATTGGGACTTGAATATTTAGCAGTAAAGATAAGAAACATTTTTTTGCATGTTGTACTCTAGCAAATTAGTATATTCTTCAAACGATTGATAACTTCTTGATTGATGGGTCTCTTCAAAAGATAAGTTCTTCAAACTTTGTCCCTATCATTTACATCCTAAGTTTATATTGAAGGTTCGAGTCTAAGATCAGCTAGGAGATCGGTCGAGTCAATCTCTACATACTATTTTCTCTTTAAATAACATTTCATCTATTAAGTCCTAAAAATATATTTAGGATCAAATTGAACACGAGTATATATTATAAAAAGCAAGTGCATAATCAATGTTTTTTTTTTTCCTGCAACATTTTGTTTAAAATAATTTCTGCAAAGACTTTTTAAGTAGAAAGATTTTATGATTATTATTAGTGGTTTATTTCCTGCAACATTTTATTTAAAATAATTTCCTGCAACATTTTGTTTAATATGTTTTTTTTAACAACATTTTGTTTAAAATAATTTTGGTTTTCCTAGTGATATTTTTGAAAAAAATATGATTATGGTGATATAGCTGAAATTGTTTAATTTAATTTTTTCAAAAAAAATATGATTAAATAGTTATCTTTAGTCAGAAGAATTTTTAGCCACATAAATAATAATCCGTCTTGAAAGAAATGATATACAATAAATGTTATAATAGATAATTAACTTATATTACCCTTTTAACCAAAAATGTGGTTAAAAAAAACTAAAATGCAAGTGCATAATCAATTTAAGTATATCATTCTATTTGTTAGAAAAGCTATTTCAAATGAAATCTTAATCATATTTAATACCAAAAAAATAAGAAAACACTGATTTATTTCAACTTTTCAGTAAACACTAAACATAAAAAAAAGAACACAGATACATAGAAATTTATGAAACAAAAAACATGCCTGAAAATAGATTTTTTAAACAAAAACAAACAGATTTATTTCAAGGCTATTTAGTGATTATTGAAACAAGAACAAACACATTTTTGAAAAAATACAAGTCACTCATCAAAGATTGGAGAAGCTCATGAATAGACGTCGGCTACGAACACTATTTTGTCAAGGTCGAGTTGCTGCCTACAAATGTGCTGCACTAAAAAGTGAAGCCGTTCGTGGTCGAGTCAAAATTATTTTTCATCTGTATGAGGCTTACAGACTGTAGAAATACAGGATTTGAGAGAGAGAGCGCCGGTCACGGCGGGAAGAAGATGATGTGAAAAAGAGAACTTCTTGTTATGTCCTTCATCATTATTACATGGACATATATATAAGAGTTAACCAAGCATAAGTGTACACGTGTCCATCCGATAATTGGTTTGTGTAGAAGAGTAATTAAGCTAATTTAATTGCTGTGCTTAATGCTCTAATAGCCCCCCGCAAACGAATGGGTCAGGAGTGATCGTGAGTTTGTCCCGAAGCATTTTAAATCGGTGTGTGGACAGAGGTTTCGTCAGCAGATCGGCGAGCTGATCCACGGTTTTGATGGGAAGAAGACGAATGTGGTTGTTGTTGAGGTTCTCGCGCAAGAACCGGTGATCGATCTCGATGTGCTTTGTTCTCGCGTGGAACACCGGGTTGTTTGCGAGGGCGATCGCCGAGGTGTTGTCGCAGTGGAGCTTGACATGCTGGTTGTGCTCGATGTGGAAGTCAGTGAGCAGCCGCTTGAGCCAGATGGTGTCGGCGGCGAGGGCTCGATACTCGGATTCAGTTGACGAGCGACACACGGTGGTTTGCTTCTTGACAGCCCATGACACAAGTGTGCTGCCGAGAAACGAACAGTAACCAGAGGTGGATTTGCGGGTGACAGGGTCGCTGGCCCAGTCGGCGTCGGAGTACGTTCGTAGCCGAAGATCCGATTTTGTGATCGGAAGACCGAAGTGTGTTGTTCCTTTGATGTAACGGAGCAGCTTCTTTAGGATGTGAAGATGGATGGGCTGTGGATCGTGCATATGCTGGGATAGGTTGTTGACGGCGTAGGCGATGTCCGGCCTGGTGATGGTGAGATACTGTAGCACGCCGGTAAGCTTCCTATACAAGGATGGATCATCCAGATTAGAGTCGATAGGGAAGTCTATTGGGAGCTTGGTGCAGGACGGATTAGATGTGGGGTTACATTGCACTAATTTAGACTGCTGAATTATGGAGGAGGCATATGCGTGCTGAGATAGAAAATACTTATCTGGGTGTTTTTGAATTTTGATGCCCAGGAAGTGATTTGCATCACCTAGGTGTTTCAGGGCGAAGGTAGTGTGGAGCTTGTTGAGGAAGACGGAGATTGCTGCCTCGTCGTTGCCCGTGACGAGTATATCGTCGACGTAGACGAGAAGGAAGATTTTAGAGGTTCCCATGCACAATGTTAACAGGGAGGGATCAGACTTGCTGTGTTGGAAGCCGAGTTTGGTGATGTAGCTGGAGAATGTAGTGTACCATTGTCGAGGTGCCTGTCGCAGATCGTATTTGGCTTTGCGCAGAAGACAAACATGGTGCGGATGAATGGAATCCTCGAAGCCTTTTGGCTGCTTCATGTAGACCGTGTCGTCCAGATTGCCGTGAAGAAAGGCGTTCTCGACGTCTAGCTGATGAACCTTCCAGTCATTGTATAGCGCGACGGTGAATAGAACGCGGATCATGGGGAGCTTGGCGATAGGACTGAAGGTTTCCACGTAGTCAAGCCCGAGCTCCTGCTGGTTTCCAAGCGTCACCAGTAGTGCTTTGAAACGTGCTACGGAGCCATCGGAGTGGAACTTCCGTCGAAACGTCCATTTGCACCCCAGTACTGGTGTATTGGGAGGCGGCGGGACAAGTTGCCAGGTTCCCTGTCTTTGCAGGGCGAAGAACTCTGCCGCCATCGCTTGTCGCCAGTCGAAGGATTTATTTGCCTCAGTGTAGCTTGTGGGATCGGTAGATGTGGCTTCACTATGAATGAGGTTAAGTCTGGTGTGAGGTTTCCGGTTTGAGCCCGAGTGATCATATGGTGCCTTGTAGCTGGACGTTATGGTGCTGGAGTCGGCAGTGGAAGCTGAGCGAGGAGGAGAGGACTGCCGAGAGCCGGTTCTGGGAGAATTGGGTGCCGGTTGTCTAGGAGTGGTGGTTGTGCATTTTGGTATTGGATTTACGGACACCGGTATGAGCATAGATGGTGGGAGCTCATGATGATCCGGCGGTTGCGAGATGGTCGATTGAGTAAATGGAAAGGATGATTCTATGAATCTCACGTGTCTTGATATGAGAATTCTGTTGGTTAGTCTATCTAGACATTTGTACCCCTTCTGATTTTCAGGATAACCGAGAAAGATGCACGAGATAGAGTTAGGCTGAAGTTTATTGTGAGCGTGGCTTGGAAGCAGGGGGAAACATTCGCAGCCGAATGTCCGGAGATGGGAGTAGTCTGGAGTGCGTTGAAACATAAGCTGCAGGGAGAAACATTGTTAGTGGTGGGTGTGGGCATGCGGTTGATCAAGTATACAGCGGTGGTGACGGCGTCCGGCCAGTAGGTAATTGGCATTGAGGCGGTATGAAGCAAAGTTCGGGCCGTGTCAACAATGTGACGATGCTTCCTTTCAGCGAGACCATTCTGCTCGGGCGTGTATGGGCAGGAGCGTTGATGTTGTATTCCTCTGTTCTGAAGAAATTCGTCGAAGATCTTATTAACGAATTCCCGGCCGCCGTCTGTGCGGACGGCTTTGATATTCTTGCTCGTTTGTCTTTCAATGAAGATAATAAAATTAATAAAGATTCGTGAAACATCATATTTAAGTGAGAATGGAAAAATCCAACTAAAGCGAGAAAAATCATCTGTTATTAAAAGATAATAGCGAAGCCCCTAATGTGAGGAGGCCGGAGAGGATCCCCATACATCGAAGTGAAGAAGAGATAGAGGAGTGTTTGTTCTACTATCAGAGTTAGAAAATACAAGCTTGTGACTTTTATAAGAAAAGCAAGAAACACAATTGGGAGAATTGAGCGTAATTCGCAGTGAAGGATTGCTGTTGGAGATCGTGGTTAGGATGCGGCGATGAGGATGCTCAAGTCTTGCGTGCCAGTTTGGTTGCGGCGAATGTACTGTGGAAAGAGCTTGCTTCGCTTGTTTTTTATTCTTGATTGAGATCGGGTACAAGCCGTTCTTACATGAACCGCGAAGCAGGACCTTGTGCGTCTGCGCATCCTTACACATGAAACCGTTAAGATCAAAAGTAATGGCAATGTTGTTGTCACGAACGAGATTAGAGACATAAATCAAATTGTAAGAGATGGAGGGAATGTGAAGAAGACGGGATAGAGATAACATAGGATCCGGGGTTGGAAGAATTCCATTGCCTGAGTGAGCGATCAGAATGGATCTTCCATTCCCAACTGTTATTTGATCCGATCCGCGGTAGTACAAGGCGTTACTGATATTGTCCGAGGTATGAGTCATATGCGAGGATGCGCCGGAGTCAAGATACCAGTTGGTGGAATTCGACTCTGGTGCGGCGAGAAGAGCTTGTCCATTGTTGCCTGAGGACTGGACAGAAGGGGGAGTGTAATTGGCATTGGCCGATGCCAGCATACGTCCGCTGTGTGGCCGCGTTTGGTACAGATTTGACATTGTGGCAGCGGCTTTGAACCTGTTTTAGGAGAAGTGGTGTTGTTCGATTGTGAGCGAGAGCGCCAGCGACGTCCTCTGCCCCTCATAGTATAGAGGGCAGCATTTGTGTCGGGAAGAGATGAATAGCGCTGATTGTCCGCTCGCAGATGGATTTCTTCTGTAATGAGCATTGCGTAGAAACTGTCTAGCGAGAGTGGGGATTGTATATAACGGATTGACGTCTTGAACGACTGGTAGGATTGCGGTAGTCCGTTTAGGATGTAAATGATGATGTCCTCGGTGTCTAAGGTAGACCAGGCGGAGGTGATTTGATCGACGAGTTTCTTGATGTCCGTCAAGTAGTCCTGCATCGATAGATTTCGCATTGAGATGTTATGAAGCTCATTCTTGAGCTGAGTTACCTTCGATCTGTTGGAAGATTGGAAGCGGGATTGAAGTGCCGCCCATATCTCCTGTGTCGATTCAAGATGCATCACGAACGGGATCACCGGAGCAGAAATTGTATAACAGAGTGCAGCGGCAAGATTCTGATCGGTGATAAGCCATTTGTGCGATTTTGGATCAAGATTTGACGAGTCTTGAGTTTCGGAGGAGGAGTTGGATTCCGGTGATGGTTCAAGAAACTGGGAGAATCCGTTGGCTTTGAACAATTTCAGGATCTGATTACACCATACTGGATATTTATTCGGTGACAGATGATGAGGGACAAGAGATTTGAGATTTGCAAGAATGAATTTCAGAGATGGGTAAAGAAAATTTGTATCAGAGGAATCATCTTGCGACGGAGAAGGGCTAAGAGCCGTCGCCGGCGGGGTTTGCGTCGCCATTGGAGATGGTCCGGAGGAGCGTCCTTCGTCTGATACCATGTAGAAATATCGGATTTGAGAGAGAGAGCGCCGGTCACGGCGGGAAGAAGATGATGTGAAAAAGAGAAATTCTTATTATGTCCTTCATCATTATTACATGGACATATATATAAGAGTTAACCAAGCATAAGTGTACACGTGTCCACCTGATAATTGGTTTGTGTAGAAGAGTAATTAAGCTAATCTAATTGCTGTGCTTAATGCTCTAATACATACAATTAGGGCAAAAAAGGGGGCAAAATAAAGAGGGGGGAGCAAATTACTTATATAATCTCTCTTATAATTTTTTTTTTTGGGGAAGCAATTGCCCTTTGATCAGAACTTGATTTCGTCTGTTATTATGAAATGCATAATTTTATATTTAAAATAAAATAAAATAAAATTTGAACAACTATATTTATTGAAAAGCATGCTAAATAATTAAAATAATTATTCTTCTAATAAAAATTTCTATAATGAATAATTGCCCATCATAAACTCTTTCTGATTCCACCACTAGGTTATGCCTGTTGAGTAACAACAGCACATAAGACTCTGGCCGGGGGGATAATTGTTCCAACTAATGAGTAATTTTTAATTTTAGAATTAAGTTCACTATCTCACTTGTATGAACTTGACATGTTTGGATTAACTTATATTCAATTCAATAATTTTAAACTTTGAAGAGAGTTTCTTATGAATCCTCCTCATTTACCTCAAAGCAACATCACCAGAAGGCAGAGGAGCTTCAATTTCCCATTGAATAGATCGTTTGCAGGCACGTCAATTTCTGAAATTGCAATATAGAACTATATGCGCTAGGCTCTATTTGATTAGAGGAAATGAAATTGAAAAAGATGAAGAAATTGATTTGTAATTAGTGTTCACCTGCAATTTTTTTTCAGAAAATTAAGATTAAATCCTAAGCCGATTATGACTTCCCTTCTATGCTTTCTGTTCTTCCTTTAAATTAAATGCTCAATTAACACATGCAGACTCTCTAACGCAGGGGGCTCCTTCGCTTACCTTCGGGTGGAGCTGGGCGACTTCATGGCCTTCATCGCCGCCGGCAACATCCTCCTCGAATACGTCATCGGTGGCGCAGCCGTTGCCCGTTCATGGACCTCATACTTCGCCACCCTTCTCAACCACCACCCCAACGACTTCCGCATCCACGCCACCTCCCTCTCCGCCGACTACTCCCGCCTCGACCCCATCGCCTGCGTCGTAATCGCCGTCGTCTGCATCGTCGCCGTCGTCTCCACCAAAGGCACATCCCGGTTCAACTACATCGCCTCCATCGTCCACCTCGCCATCATCCTCTTCATAATCATCGCCGGACTCACCAAGGCCAACACCCACAACCTCACCCCCTTCACCCCCTTCGGCACCCGCGGGATCTTCTCCGCCTCCGCCGTCCTCTTCTTCGCCTATGTCGGCTTCGACGCCGTCTCCACCATGGCGGAAGAGACTAAGAACCCGGCCAAGGACATACCCATTGGACTCGTCGGCGCCATGTCGATCACCACCGCCTGTTACTGCCTCCTAGCTTTGGTTCTCTGTTTGATGCAGCCGTACACCAAAATCGACCCCGACGCTCCCTTCTCGGTGGCGTTCTCCAATGTCGGCATGGATTGGGCTAAGTACATTGTGGCCTTCGGCGCGCTCAAAGGCATGACCACCGTCCTCCTCGTCTCCGCCGTGGGGTAAGCCATACTACATCGTTCTGCTAAAATCGTTTATTAAAGTACTTATATTTAAAATATTTATTATTTTATTTAAAATTGCTTTCATTTTAATTTTGAATCACATATTAAAATGTGATTAATCTTTTTTTTTTAATATAAAAATGATTTTTTGCAGTCAAGCGAGGTACCTCACACACATCGCTCGCACCCACATGGTCCCTCCATGGCTGGCCAACGTCCACCCACGCACTGGCACCCCCATCAACGCCACCATCGTCATGCTCATCGCCACTGCCGTGATCGCCTTCTTCACCAGCCTCGGCATCCTCTCCAACCTCCTCTCCATCTCCACCCTCTTCATCTTCATGCTCGTCGCCGTCGCTCTCCTCGTCCGCCGCTACTACGTCTCCGGCGAAACCACCTCCGCCAACCGCAACAAGCTCATCGCCTACCTTCTCCTCATACTCTCCTCCTCCGTCGCCACAGCTCTGTACTGGGCGTTGAGCAAGAAGGGTTGGGTGGGTTACTTGGTCACAGTGCCGGTTTGGTTTTTATCCACTCTGGGGCTGCACTTGACGGTGCCGCAGGCGAGGAAGCCGAGGTTGTGGGGAGTGCCGTTAGTGCCATGGCTTCCGTCAGCGTCGATCGTTATAAACATATTTCTGTTGGGATCTATTGACGGGCTTTCGTTCGCGAGGTTTGGGGTGTGGACGGTGCTGTTGCTGGTTTATTATTTCTTTTTGGGGCTCCACGCTTCCTATGATACTGCTAAGGCTGCAGATTTGAGCAGGGAGGCAACGAAGATAGAGGAGGGAAACGGCGGTGCGGCCATGGAAGGCCACCCCGCCGGAGCATGATTGCGGGGCTTTAGTAACTGTAATTATGATTAATGTAAGGAAGATGGAAGCGCGTTGTGGTTGGCTGATTATTATTTATGAAATGGATGAAATGGGCAAGTTTTATATTATTGTTGTTGGGAAATGTTGGTGCTTGAATTTAATATAAAGAAAGAAATTTGTTTAAAAATTAAGTGTAAATGTGTGCAGTGTTTTCAGAGTATGAAAATGGAGAATATATATGTTCATCATTAAAATTCTCTCTCTCTCTCTCTTCTCACGGCGAATTATTATGTCCGGACATCCAATCCAGACGCATCATGTCACGTAAATACATCGGGATCTGATGTATTTGGGTGATGTGGCTCGTCCGAATTGTTGTCCGGATGAATCCAGACACCGGACATAATAATTTTCTCTCTCTCACTCACAAATTTTCTTTTATGCTGAAATATATCCTTTACCTAAAAGATTACGCATTTTTTTTACCTGTATTGATTGTTTAACCAAAATTATTGAATACAACTTATCACCCCTCAAACTTGGATTCTGCAACATATTGCATTAACACTGTTTATATTCAAAACAACTAATTAAGAATTCTTACAAACCTTAAGTGCATTAGGTTTACCAAAAAATGCCTAGATTATACAATACTAAGAACATAGATTCATTCTTAGATCCATTACATAGTTAATTCCAACCAACAAAATAATCACACCACTATCTGCTCTAAATAACATAATATTGGAATCGATAGTCAAGAATCAATAGGAGAACATACAAACCACATGTATGTTGTTGCTATGAAACAAACTTGTAAAAGTTCTTCAAGTCGTAGGATATCGAAGAAGAACGGCTCAAAATTCTTTCTTCTTCATTCATTTTTTGTGTTCGAGCATCTACACGAAGATATCTCACAGTATTCTTTCATATAATAATGCTTGTGCGAGCCTCTTCCTCTTGTCTCTTGCTGCGCCTAAACTACGCCCTCTACCTCATGTACAAAAAGTTCTTTGCCACATTCGTTGATTGCTTTAACATTTGATGTTGACGTAAATGTTCTGCTAAGTATTGAAAATTAATTAAACTAAAATTTGATTTGGAGATTGAAATTTTAAATATCTTTTTAATGAAAAAATAAAATTACAACACTAGCTAGAAAAATTCTAAGGGCAAAAATCAACAAAGATGACTTTTCAATAGATAAATGGATTAACATGTTAATATAATAAATCAACACAAACAATTAGTTTATGTTCCGAAAGAAAGAACCTGCATAAGAATCCCCAGCGCTCGCGTCCTAGGGTTCGCCTGGTGCATCCTGGCGGCGGCCTTCGCCGCTTTCTGGCTCAGGGATGTCCTTCTTCCCTCTTTTTCTTTTGGTTTTCTCTTTTGTGCTGGTTGTTGAGGTTGGTATGGCGCTGTCGCGTTTGTCGGACTCGGGTTTTTTATCTAGTTCTAGGTTTCCTCGTTCTTTTGTCGATGCGTTAGCGGTTTCCACTCCTACTGGAGTTTTTTCGGAGCTTACTCCTTCGTCTTTCCGCGGCCTGCCTTCCTTTGGGATTTCTGAGGACGAAATTAGGGCTTTGGCCATTCCTTTTCGCTTCTTGCTTGTTGGTTTTTTTTCCTTCTCGTCGTTCGAATCTTGACTCAATTAGGAGGTTTTTTGCTAATCTTAAACTATTAGCGGATTGTTACATAGAAAGTCTAGAATGTTCTCTTGGTAGTGTATATATGCTAGTATTGTAGTAGGAAATGAGGATAAGTATTATGATATTTTGAAGCTTTAAGCTTGTTAATTGATTCCTTTGTTTGTGTTTCTTCTTTGCATTATGATCTTCCACTATTTACCCACATCAGTTGGTATCAGAATCTGGAGCTTGTGAAGAATGACGGGTTGTTGAAGAAGATGGGTTGTCGACAACGATCAAAGCCGAAAAAAATGAGCGGTCGACAAAGATCGACTCGAGTAAGATGGGCAGTCGATGATGATCGACGCCGAAGATGTGCGGTCAACAATTGGTTGAGTGTTGCATTGTATTCATATTCTTTAGTTTACATAACAAACAAAGTAAATGACAATATGAGATTGCGATTTTGATAGGCATGTCTATGGTTAGCCTTATATATGATGTTGATTGCATCATATAACGGTATTTGATCAAATTTATTCAAATGTTTCCATAACTCATGATTAATTGTAATTGTTTGCATAGAAAGTCATATTCAAATTATCTTCTCAGTTTGGCTTCAAGAGATTCTTGTATGTGTGTGTATATATCATATGAGATTCTCTAGTCCTGCTTCTGATACTGTCATATTATGCGAGTGAAGATTACAAAGGCCTGGATTTTGAATTTCAATACAATCTTAGTGGTGTGAAACTAAATGCGATAGACAAGAAATGCTTGTTAGAAAATTAATAACTTGTGAACTTGCGTTGCTAATTTAAAACAAATGCGTTTCAAGATAGATCATAAGAAATTTTCATGGAGGAACTAAGCAACGTCAATCAATTACCTTAGAAGCGACATGAAACCAACAAAATTAATCTAATTGATAAGTAACAAAGCAAATGTCTCTTAACAAAAATCCAAGGCTTAAGATATAGATCCTTCACCTTGAAGTCCCTTACTTCACTCTTGGATTCACTTGGTTAGCGGAAGAGGATGGCGCACAAACTCAATGATGCCACTATCACACAAGTGATGCCGAGAAGACTAGTCGCCGGGGAAGAAGCCGGATTTGGGGAAGATGGTGGACGCCCGTTGATGATCCAATCGTCGGCCGGAAGTTGTTCGTATTCGTTGATGACGTCCACGAGGGTGGGAAGGATACGGTTCAAGTAATCCTCGACGGTGTGGTCGAAGGCGAACCCAACGTCAAAGAACGGCGAACGGACGACGCCGATATCTCCTTGAAAGTCATACGCAAATCCGTGATCAAATTCCGGATCCGCCATTCATGTTCGTAATAAATGGAGAAGAGAAGAGGGAGGGGGAGGGGAGGTGGAAGTGACGGTTTGAGGAAGAGAGGGGTTGGCCGTGAGCTAAAGGGAGAGGGAAGGATTTAGAAACCTGAAAATAATTTCAGCTTCAATTGGTTTTGGAGGGAGATTAATTTGAAATTTCAAATTAATTCAATAATGGCTAGGGGTGTTAATGGGGGAGATAATTAGGGGCTGATTTGGTGGAGCTTTAATGTAATTTGGGAGAGAGAAGAAAAGGGGAGTGGGGCCGGCAAATGGGGAGGAGAGAGAGGGGTTTGGAGTTAAGCATGTGGGGACCACAAGGGGATAATTAATTCTATTCAAATATGAATTTTAATTTTAGAATTGATTGAATTTAAAATAACTCCCAAATTTTAATTAGGATGAGAGGGGAAATAGTTTGAATTTCAAATAGGTTATAACTCCTTTAAATGTCTTTCCTAAACAGACAAAGCCTAATTAGGAAAGCAAATTAAGAAAGGAGAATTTGAAATTTGAAATTTGAAAAGGAAGAGGGCCAAGAGAGGGGCCAGCGGCAAGGAGGGTGGCCACAGGTGGGGTTGGACCCGACGGCTGGCAGCAGGGAGCTGGGAGAGCCGCCTATGGCTGGACCAGCCAAGGGAGGCCGGCGGTGGAGCGGGTGGGGTGGGAAATTTTGGGGAGGAGGGGAATTTTCGGCTAAGTAGGGGAAGATGGGATTGGGTAGGGAAAAGAAAGTTATCAAACTACAAACCTTGAACACCACTTCCACAAGAACTCTCAAAGATATCCACAATACTATCTCCTCAAGAACTCACAAAGAGATCTTAGGAAATTTCATGAACTCGCAAAGAGATCAACAAGAGAAAGAAATTTTCATTCATCAATAATCATCATCATACAATGCATGAGGCCTCCTATAAATAGGCCAAAATGAAACTAAAACTAAAAGACAAAAATGCCCTCAGGGCTACATTATCAAAAGACCATCCATAAGGGTAAAACAATAAAACTGAAAAACAAAATAAACTAATACATAAAATGACTCAAAATATAAACTTCTGATCGTGGCCGTCGATCTCTGGTGGTACATGTGTCGAAATCACTGACAATGTCCTCATCACTTAGCCGATGATTTGATTTCCTGATTTAGAAAGTGATTCAAACTGTTCAGAATTTAATTGTAATCATTCTTAAACTAATTGTGCTAATTTGGGTCAGATTTGAGTCTGCATCCAACACAATTTAACTCAAATCGAGTCAATTTGGATTCGATCTAGTGCGATTGCAGCAATTTGATGAAATTAAATCCAATTTGATGTCGATTTGACTCAAATTGGGATTGATATGGCTCAATCGAGTCAATCGCACATACTGAGAAAATATCGTGATAAAATTGAGGTCAACAACTCCACTTTAATGTCGATTGTAAGAAAATGAGAGTATGGCTAACTTTGTTTATGAAAGTAAGAACCTTAAGAATGAACATGATAACTCATAAGATTATAATTAAAAAGATCAAACACAAAAGATTAGACACCAAAATTTAAGTGGTTTAGCGAAATCTACTTATATCCATAGCTGCACATATATCAAAATATTTCACTAAACTTCAAAAGTGACAATATAATTAATTTATTTTTGCCCTCCCTGAAAATTAAGCCTGGATCCTCCCCTAGCTAGTATTGTAGTATGAAAAGAGGATGAATATAATATTATGATATTTTGAAGCTTTAAGCTTGTTAATTGATTCCTTTGTTTGTGTTCCTTCTTAGCATCATAATCTTCCACTTATTACCCACATCAGTAGGTATTAGAACCTGGAGCTTGTGAAGAATGACGAATTGTTGAAGAAGATGGGCCATCGACGACTATCAAAGCTGAAGAAAATGGACAGTCGACGAAGATCAACGTCGAATAAGATGGGCAGTCGATGCCAATCGACGCCGAAGTCAACAATTGGTTGAGAGTGTTGCATTGTATTCATATTCTTTCGTTTACCTAACAAACAAAGTAAATGACAATATGAGATTACGACTTTGATAGGCATGTCTATGGTTAGCCTTATATATGATGTTGTTTACATCATATAACGATATTTGATCAAATTTATTCACTTGCTTCCATAACTCATGATTAATTGTAATTGTTTGCATAGAAAGTCATATTCAAATTATCTTTTCAGTTTGGCTTGAAGAGATTCTTGTATGTGTTTGTATATATCAGATGAGAGTCTCCGGTCCTGCTTCATGTCTTCATTCTGAAACTGTCACATTATGCGAGTGAAGATTACAAAGGCCTGGATTTTGAATTTCAATACAATATTAGCCGATGATTTGATTTCCTGATTTAGGAAGTGATTCAAACTGTTCAGAATTTAATTGAAATCATTCTTAAACTATTTGGGCTAATTTGGGTAAGATTTGTGTATGAATCCAACACAATATTAATCTAACTCAAATCATGTCAATTTGGATTTGATCCAGTTCGATTGCAGAAATTTGATGAAATTAAATCCAATTTGATGTCGATTTGACTCAAATTGGGATCGATATGGCTCAATCGAGTCAATCGCACATACTGAGAAAAATCGTGATAAAATTGAGGTCAACGACTTCCACTTTAATGTCGATTGTAAAATGAGAGTATGACTACTTTGTTTATGAAAGTAAGAACCTTAAGAATGAACATGATAACTCATAAGATTATAATTAAAAAGATCAAACACAAAAGATTAGACACCAAAATTTAAGTGGTTTAGCGAAATCTACTTATATCCATAGCTGCACATATATCAAAATATTTCACTAAACTTCAAAAGTGACAATATAATTAATTTATTTATATGTTAGGAGATGATAAAGGAGAAAGCCACAAATCTTAATCTTTTTATTTTTTTCTTGAATCAATAAGAAAATATGCTACCCCTTGTATATTATTTATGTTGCCAAAACAAATTTGTGAAAGTTCTTCGCATCTTAAGATATCGACGAGCTTCTAAGTAATTTGTGCAAGAGTATCTACACAAATGTAACTCCTAATGTTCTTCCATACAATGACACTTGCCCAAGCCTCTTCCTATATTCTCTTGCTTCACCTAAACTCCCCTTCTACTTCTCAAATATTGTTTGATGTAAAGAGACGTAGACCCAAAAGGAAGTAATTGTGATTGTTCTACTATCGTTGGTGGCCTAGTTTTTCGTTATTGGTCGGTGGGTGTCACTCTGATGGCGGCTTTTGTGGATGTGGTTGACTTTCGTTTGATTGGAATGTGATATTGGGCTTTGCGATTGCATTGTTCCTTTATGGGCAATGATGTGACCCTTTAGCTTGTCTTTCTTCTATGTGGATTATTGCTTGTTTTCTCCTCTGTATGGTTCAAGCTTGGCGTCTGGGTTGTGGCAGGGAGCTTTTGATAATTACTGAGTCTGGCTGACTTCTTCTCCTTCATCACTGTTTGCTTTCTTTTCATTTCTAACTTTGGCCGTTTAATCAAAGCACTTTGATCTTGTTTTGCTTGGATGTATCCTTTTTTATTTGATGAAATAAAATCTATATATTATTCACACACACACACAAACCTTTGATGTAAAAAGATAGTCGCTTGGATGTGAGATGCACTTGGAGGATTATGTAGATATAATTATATAAAGACTACCATAATTCAGCATACATACAATAAATAAATAAAAATAACACTCATATTATTCATAAAAAACAATTAAAATATTTTGCAATAATGAGAAAATTATACTATATATTTATCCAGGTTTTAAAAACCGAACGGGACCAGCCGGTTCAACCGTGAACCGGCCAGTTGTCCGATCCGGTCCAGTTAAAAAACTGGCTTTCCAGAGAACCGGACTGAACCGGCGGTTCAACCAGTGAACCGGTCCGGGTTTGAAAAAACCGGCCGGTTTCAAAAAAAAAAATTAATGATAAATAAAATATAAAAAATATATATTTTACTTCATTACATTTTTTAAAAATATTTTTTTATTAAATAATGAGATTTTTTACACCATAATATATGGTTGTCATCTCATGAAACAAGTTTTGTTTGAAAAGAGGGAACTATATATAGAGCCAAAAGCCAACTATCTCTTACTCCTTCATGATGTGGGACTAAAAAAGAGTACATGAATGCTATGTGAGCTTAAATGTGAGCTTGGGCTTTATTGGGCCATTAAATTGAGTTTGTTGGGCCACAAATTTGGGCTGGGCGGTTCTTTGTCCGGTCCGATTTTCACAACCTTGATATTTATAAATAGCTACTTTAAGAAGAAAAAAATTATTCTCCACAAATCACCTAATAACTTAAAAGGTCCCCATTATGACATGAACACCAATTTTAAGGATTTTTCAATAATAAGAATATTATAATTAATTATTACTCATATGTAAGTTCCTCCTTTCACCCTTTCATGTTATTATCCTCTTACACTACAATTATGGATGTTGATTACCGTTCAATATTACTTACATTGAAGACTCTTCATCACTTCTTATTTATCATTATATCATTTGAAACGACTGCAGCTTTTTATAAAATGATTATAAAACTGAGGCATAAAAAATAATTTTTTTAAAAGCTATTATAGATAATAACTTCTTAACATAAAAATTTATTGAAAATAGTAAAAAAAAATATAATCACACAAAAAAATATGATTATAATTTCAAAAATAAAGCTAACAAAATTATGCACATTTTCAATTGTATTTCATCATCATGGAATAAAAAAATAATAACTTTTTTATAAAAAATACATGAGATTAAATATATATTATTAAATCATATACAAATTATTTGCTTATTATAATAAAGCAATAGGAATAAATTTGCTTATCATTTTATTCTTTTGCATTAAAAAATCAAGTAAAATATAATATTTATATGCCTTACAAATTAAAAATAATAATAGTAATAATTTTGTTAACTCTCTGCAGAGCCTCAAAACTAATTCACAGAAATATCTACAGCCGATGTTCTTCGACCAAACTTGTATAGAAGGTGATAAGCTGCTAATGTATTTGACTGCTACACCTAACCAACCCAGTTCTTTGTTAAAGATAAATAAAGGTAGAAGTTTCAGCCAGGCCAGGATTTGTTACTGCAGCTTCTCCATTTTTGTAAGTTTTGTTTCGATTATTGTTTATCTTGTAAATTTGTTATTTAGAATCCCAGAAGATTAATTAGTTTGTTCTTCCAGTTTCAAGAGAAACTGTTGAAACTGGCATTTCTGGGATGGAATTGTCTGTTTGAAGAGCCATAGCTGCTCAATGAGCTCAGCTGCTGAATTTTCTTGAGAACTTCTTCTACAGGGGGAGGTGGCCCAGGCAGCTTTGAGTGTTTAAATCTGCAGCCAGGTCCATTGGGGCAGAATCCCATCATATACCTTCACAGAAGTTTTCAAAAAAGGACAAAAAGTAAAATGTCAGATGATTTAGAATGCAAAAAGGTTTCAGTAAACGTATGGAGAATCAGTTTTCTTACTGCATCTAGAATGGAAAAACATTTATGTTAAATGAACTCGAATTCAAGCTATTCTGCCAGGAAAGGGCAAACTTTGACCTCTAATTAAACGGGGCAAGAATAAAATTCTTATCCTACATTACCGAGTTTGCAGTTCACCATCCGAAGACCAACCAGAATGCGTCACATCAGCAGTACCAAGCACGGTACCGAGCAGTACCGAGAGGGGGTGATGTGGTGCATTCTAGTTAGTCTCTGGACGACGTTCGACATCCGCACATAATACTTTGCCATTGTTCTTGATGCTGATCATGCCATCAAAGTTACTATAATAAATACTTGACTCTATTAATTTTTCATGGATCATGGAACTAGTTTGTTTATTTCGGTTGAGTAAGAGAAGCAGAGGAGAGCATTGATGAGATTTGGAGCTTATTTTCATTTCATAAACACTATGGTTTTGTTTTGGGACGGCTTTTTAATGCTTCTTAAAGCAGCTTTTGAGTACAAAATTTTAACTTTTGTATTAAAAAGCTGTTTTAAGAAGTAAGCAGTAAGAAAGCCGTCCCAAACGAAGCCTATAAAGAGAAGATCGAAATTACCCTTAAGAAAATTCTTAAGTATATCCCCATGCAAACCTAAAATTTTCTTCTAAACTTTCTATATCGAATAAAGCAAAGTGCCTGCTAGTGATGTTGTTGCATGGGATATATCATGCCAAAGTTGATCAGCAAGTAAACATATGACTGTAATTAATGAATTACTATTCGAAAGAACATATAAGTAACAGTAATTTTCGTGTACTTAGTATGATTGATTTCCATGCAACAAAGTATTAAGGAACTATTAAATTGAAGCTTTAGCAGATTATCAAACAATTTAAACAGCTAATATTTTCACTTTCAGATGCAATTAACTCGTTCATATAAAATTTTCAACGGGCAATTGAAAAAGCTCTACTTTTATGTCTTCTACAGAGGAAATTCGTATTATCTCTACATTAATTTCTGAAAGAACTGTAAAATTGGTTGTTGGCTTTACTCTTCTTTTATGTCTTCTACAGCGGAAGATAGTCAGGACACCCAGCTCAAGAAGTATTATTATTATTATTGTTTAGCACAAGTATAATTTTCTTAGTTACAAGTTTTTAGTGTCTTAGGTGAGACCAGAAAAAATATTCTTCCCTACATTAGCTTAATAGAGTATTCTGATGGTTTCTTTGAAATTTTAAGCTCTACGATTTGTCTTCTTCAGAAAGAAACCATGCAGATTAAACAATAGTTCTTGTTCACAAGCATTAAAAAAAGCAATCAGAACACATCCACTGAAAGAGGAATAACCCTAGTTGCGGTTGGAAACTAAAGCTTCGTTTGGGACGGCTTCCTTGCTGCTTCTTAAAGCAGTTTTTTAGTTCAAATTTTTAAATTTTTATACAAGAAAACTGCTTAAAGAAGCAATAAGAAAGTCATCCCAAACGAAGCCTAAGTTAAACCACTTATTTGAGAAAGAAACATAGTGAAACATTATTCACAAATAATGAAAAAGGAAAGATAGTAAAGACTCCTGGGAACCTTCATGGTAAAGACTCTATGTATAAATCGACAGGAGAAAACATCAAAGATTTCTTAAGCTTTTACATAAGACATCAAGCAGTTTAATTCTTTAGAATCTGGAATCCAATGTAGTAATGAAATGTATATTTTCTGGCATTATTGGTTCACTAGTTGTAGAGTTAATGAATAAAAAAGAAGTTCAGAGAAGTTTGAGAAACTCAAGAATACCAAAATCAAAAAACAAAATTAAAAGTACAAGTGAATTTCACTTCAAAATCACCTTCTAACAAAGGAAAAAAAATTGCAAACAACTTTCCCAGTCATATACGCATGAAAATTCTTGAAATTACAAAAGAAAGTCAGGCAGCTTGTAGAGAAAGCCTTAGATCAGAATCCTTAAAAAAATATATAGAGAAACAGTTATTCTAACTATAATAGGATAGCCTAAAATCCTTAGCTAAAGCTCATTCGGAACTCGTTGCCATCATTCATTCGCAATTATGCTGTTTGGTATGCCAATTACTAAGGCTTAGTTTGAGACAGCTTTCTTTCTGATTCTAAAAGCAGCTTTTTAGTAAAAAAATACTAAGAAGCTGCTTTAAGAAACAAAAAGAAAGCCGTTCCAAACGAAGGCTAAGATTGGGAAACTCATGCTACAACAAGGTTCCTTTAGGCTTCATTTGTGACGGCTTTCTTACTTCTTCTTAAAACAACTTTTTATTAAAAAATTAAAATTTTTATACTAAAAAGCTATTTAAGAAACAGTAAGAAAGCCGTCCCAAACGATACCTTAATCTCATGTTATAGGGATTCAATTAGACATTTGATGCAGCGTAACAGTAAAAAGTGCTAATTAAATTATATCATGCTAAAGGAATACAATGCGCATAAGTCAACTGACAAAAACCACAAAAAATCGTATCATTCTTCACCTTCAAATGATACAACGGAAAAGGGGAGAGGATGTAGGAAGAAAAAGCAAGAGATCGTAACTTTTATTTTTAAATAGTTCATTGCTTATCAAGATGACATGACTCAGAGATTCAACAACGATTTGAACTTGTTTGGAACCTGCTAAATCGAAAGCAACCTTTAATTATAAACTAGTCCTTGAAAAGATGCATTAAGCTACATCTGTAAACCATGTTTAAGACAAGCTTCTGTAATAAAATAGACACAATTGGTCCAAGGAACACACCTTAGCTTCCACATGCAAGTGGTGCTTCTGCTAAAACTAGCTAAGCACCGATTACATTACATGGCCACCATATTTTCCTCAGCATCAATATACTAAATATATAACATGGACATATGGGTACTCTGCTCACTTTGGCAAATGATTGATTAGATATCAGGAACCTCGTGCTTCTTTCAAGATAGAAAAATACAAACAAGTCTAAGTAGAATCATAAAGAAAATTGTAATTGTTATTTTTTGAAAAATATATATAAAAGCCCCAAAATAAACAATCTGCAGAAAATAAACTAGATATTGTAACTTCTAACCAATGGAACAGTAGTCTCTTGTATTTGCTCCATTGTAATGCTCGCTTCCATCCTACTTACCACAAGCCCTCCCTATATTATGATGCACAAATCCTCATCCCAATTACTGCATAGTGATCATTGTCAATCGTTGTCTCTCATGGTTTTTGAAATAATCTCACTCTCTTTGTCATGTAATCACAATCTTTTGTCCTCCTTCCCATACTTGCAACTATGTTTGACTTAGAATGTCTCCCTGATGTGTTCATTAATTGAAACAATGACTTCCTTATCACTGGTACTGCCTTTGTCATCAATTCCAACACTTAACACCAAAAAATTTATCTTGAAAATTGCACACCCACCACCATGCTGAATAAAGTGTTTCTATCTGCTACTATTTCAATGAGAATAGTCACCTCCATCGCCCTCTCCATCACGATTTATTATTTTGTGCAGAGTCCGGAGGGCGTCCGGAGACCAATAAAAATGCGTCACGTCACCTCAAAAATATATTGCGCTCGATACCGAGCTCGGTACCGCGCTCGGTACAGCTCGGAATCGAGCGCGTAACCGGACAGGAGAACCGTTCGATGTACGCACAGAATAATAGCTCCTCCATCACGCTGCTTAGATTCCATAAGTGCTAACTAGCAAAGACGCTTAAAACTATCTTGGCATCTACACTGCTAATTTCCAAGAGAGGCAAAAGAAAAGATATGCAAGCAAATATCCTAAGATTCAACAAATCAGTACGTTTTCAAATGTCAACTTCCTAGCATAAAGGAAGCAATAAACAAGTCCTATGGCATACAACTTAAACATGAAAAATAAATGAATAAATCACGTGCTTACAACTTTGAATGATACTAAAAGTTAATTTTTTATCCCAAAGTAGATAAATCATCAAGTGTTTCTCCACTACTCCCTTCAACTTTAAGCCATAGATTTCAGTGATCAAAAGAGGTCAATTGCAGAAGGAAGAGAAAGAAAGAAGAAGCGCACAAACATAAACCAACGCCATAAAACCAGTTCATCCAACAAGCTCCCTGCACTAACAAATTTTATAGAATCATCAAATCACCATAAACCTATTAGAAATCTTGCAAAATCGGTTCAAAAAATCAGTTTACAACAACTGCAAAATTCCACTATGCAGATTTATGAAAAAAAAAAAATCCATTTTTGATGGATGTGGCGATAATTGTGCCAGAATTTCACCCAATTGCATGTGAAACTAAAAATAGGCATCTGTCGGGGGCAGAACGTCATCAACTCTTTCTTCACCGATAATAACCGCTAACCTATTCTGATTCTTTCAGGTAAGATCAAATTTTTTACAAATAAAAGCAGAGAAAACTTAAGGAAAGGAACTTGCAGAAAATCACAGAGATCAAACCATGTCGATCGTCTAAATACGTACTCAAACAGGAAAAATAAGCCAAATACCCTCAGAATACTATGAATAAATAAAGTGATGGAAGAGATGGCAAGAGCATACATGTGACACTCCTTGATCTCCTCGATGGTGTGCTTGTAGAGACAATCCTTCTCCCTGCACTCACCAAAGTTCCGGAAGAACCGGCAAACCGGCATCTTCTCTTTATCATACTGGTGGAGAAACCCGCAAGACGCACCCTTCATGCACAAACCACGCAGCCAGTGCCGGCACACCGTCCGCCGGAAATTCCTACGGTCCAACGGCGCAACGGCGATTTCCGGCACTGCTAGTGCTCTCGGATCTCCATGAAGACCCTGCCCCAAAACCGCAGAGGGTTCACCACCGCCTTCCCCGCCGGCGTCAAGCGCTGTTTCGAAGTCAAAGCTGAAAGCCCCACTGGAATCATCCATTGAAGATTCGATCAGCAAATCTGAGCTAGGGTTTCGCCACTACGGATCGTTACAACCGATCTATGTTTCGTAACCGATAATCAAAATCGAGAGGAGCGAAAGAGAAGGGATTCAGAATCTAATTTAATAAATACAACTAAATTTTTTCGGTTTTTTTTTTCCTTTTTTTATTTTATTTTCCTCCGCGAGTCTACGCCGACAACGAGCTCGAGGAAGATGAAGCATTTAATATTATTAAATTGGATTAATAACTATGCGAATAGATCGTATGCGAATTTTGACGGCTTGTTTGTGGATCCCGTCCATTTATGACTGGACCGTGGTTCGTATGAATTTTTGTGCGGCAAAAATTCTCGGGCAGAGCAGACCGACGGCGACACGATGGCTCGAAAAAGGCTGTCACGTGCGTCGCACGCGGTTGGCAACGGGCCAATTTACCGCCAGTTGGGCTCGATAAAAGCCCAATTATTTAGTTCGAATTTTTTGAGAAAAATCAAATCAAATGTAGGTTAATACATTATATGTGATCTATATTCAGAGTTGATAATATGCGGAAGATTGAATCGATATTTTCACCAAATTTAAGATCAAAAATTTATACGACCCGATTAATGACCTAATTGGTATTAGTGTATAAAAATAAATGATATATATTTTACTATGACTGTGACGTGGCATTTATTCATTTGTTCATATGTGTTGTAAGATTCTCTCTCTCTCTCTCTCTCTCTCTATAGAAGGCTGTTGTATGTATCGGGCAGTGAAACAATTACAATTTACTTCTTCTTCCAGCTTCCTCTTTCAGTTGGGCTTCTTTTCCTGTCTTATGATTTCTTCATGGTATCAGAGCAGGTTGTGTCGATCACAAGTTATATCATATTCGGCATTATCTCAACTAAGCAAACACATGGAATTAACATATCATGAAGACTCTGCCATTTCCTCAACTCTGAAATTGTGGTTTTGAACATCAAGAACATTGTTCCAATTCAACTCAACCATGAAAATAACCCCATTTGATGGTCTCATATACTAAAATAATTTTGTGTCAATGCGTTTGATAAGTTTCTTGACTCTTCTTTTCCATCTTCCATGAAATCTGTCCAACAATCTGATGGATCTTTCACTCCAAACCCTTCTTTTACTCATTGGCTCTTAACAGATCAAAATTTAGTTGCTACGTTATGTTCCACAATATCTCCATCTATTATTCCCTGTGTGATTAATCTCGATTCCACTGCTGATATCTGGACCACGCTTGAAACTAGGTTTCAATCCACCAATAGATCTAAGGTCATTCAACTCAAAAATGTCCTTCACAATATCTCCCTAAAAAATTTGACTATGACGCAATATCTTTCGAAAATCAAAGATTTTGGTGGATCAAAAAGATGATTTCTTTCTCTATATATAGAAGGTTGTTTGTTGTATGTATCGCGCAGTGAAACAATTACAATTTACGATAAAAACAGAATTGGTTGATAATGGTTCTTTTTTTTTCTTCTGACAAACTCATAAAATAGAATATAGAGATGGTGAATACAGTCTTAAGTCCGATTATTAATTGTTGGATTTAAAATTGTCAATAGTAGATACAAATATTTTTTTTTTATATATATTTTGACCAATTAAGACAGACTCACACACACATCGCATACACAAGACTCGAACCCAAAAACTCTTATATTATTGAATGTCTCTTCGGAGACATCACAAGACTCACACACATTACAACAATTTTATTGGATGTCTTTTTGGAGACGTCCAATAAAATTGGAACGATACATAGAAGATTATCATGGCCCCTGCACAAGGATGACCCGCATAAACTGAGAAATTGTCTAAATTTTTTACACAACTCATTTTGATCTGTTGGTTGGGAGCTTAACATGTTGAACGAGTGAGCTGGAACCTATGTGAGAACGGAAAGTGGATAATAGAGCTAGAGAGAAAGTGTGGATCTATAAAATGCTCAAGTAAATTGTAAATCTCAAATTGTTCTTCATCATCCTTCATTTATAAGTGTTGCGTGCTAGAACATACGCGGCATTAGAGTTAGAAAATATTCGTCTTAGCGTTGCACGAGTATTCAGCACACAAACAGAAAAGAGAAATGAACACCAGAGTTTTTACGTGGAAAACCCAAAAAGGAAAAAAACCACGAGGCCTTGCCCAGTTGTAAAGTTCCACTAGTGTTTGTATGAAGTACAAATGTTGATCTGTCTTACAAATCAAGACGATCAGTTTACAATCAACTTCTCACAAAGTTACAAAGTTCTGCAAATTCCCGGCGTTTCCCAAAAATTCAGCAGAGTTCCGGCGTCTTCAGGCGGCGAGAAGAGTTCCGGCGGTGGTCGAGGAGGAGCTTCTTCCTTCTCTCCTTTCTTCTCTTATTCTTCTCTCTCTTCCCTTGAGTACCCTTTGTGTAGAATGAGGGCTATATTTATAGTTTTTCCGGAGTGGCATAACTCGTAAATAGGTGTGAGATCATGGGCGAATAGGGAGTGGTTTAAATGGAAGACCGATATTGAACCCTTTGATCGTGCACCTTTCGTTGAACATTTGGAGGCCTGAATGATGTTGGAATTCGGCGATCTTGGGCTCATTGGATTCGAATCGTCGATCCGCTCGATTCGAGTATAAGATCGTTAAAATTGGAGACCGTTTGGTAACTCAAATTGCGATTTGAATCTTCCAACAGCGCTTCGAGTCCTTGATTCGGACTCATTTGGGCTAAGATTGGGTTGAACTTGGTGTCGTTGGGTTCGTATTTCCGAGACGCTCAGTTTGACTGTAGGCTCGCTGAAATCAGAGTTCTGGTAATTCCAGATTTAATTTTTGAAGTTTCCAACTAGCTTTTGCCTTGAGATTCATGCCCGATCAAGCTAATTTTGTGATGTCGTATCAATAAGATTTTGAAAACTGTGAAAAGATACAACTCCTAAATTGAGTTTGTAGGGTTATAACTTATGTGTACAATACAGATAGTAGAAAAAACTTAACAAATATACATATACATATACATAACCTTCGGCCCTAAGATTCATTTTATATGGCCACACACAATTGTTTCAGAAAAAGATGGCTGAATTTGCTGCAGAGTATGTGAAGGTTAGGCTTCGTTTGGGACAGCTTTTTTACTGCTTCTTAAAGTAGTTTTTAAGTGCAAAATTTTTAATTTTTTATATAAAAAAGATGTTTTAAGAAGCAGCAAGAAAGCTGTCCCAAATGAAGCATTAGGCTTTGTTTGGAACGGCTTTCTTACTGCATTATAAAACAGATTTTTAGTATAAAATTTAAAATTTTTATACTAGAAAGCTACTTTAAGAATCATGAACAAAGTCATCTCAAACGAAGCCTTAGGCTTCGTTTGGGACGGCTTTTTAATTGTACAAAAAAAAATTGTACTAAAACTTCGTTTTAGAAAGTAATAAAAAATTAGTCCCAAATCAAACCTTAGTCTTTGAAAAGGCTTCTTTTTGGTCATATGAGTAGTTATCATTCTCTGCTTTTTTTTTAACCTTTCCTCATCAAGCAATTGCTTTGAGTAAAGTTGCTGAGAAGCTTTGGAGTGAAGGGAGGGCATGCAAAGAGTCAGGCTACCATTGTTCGTTGCCATTGATTGGAAAGTGATGGTAGGTCTTTTACAGGACTGAATTTCTTAAGATTTTCATATTTTACTCTGTTGAAGTGAAGAATTATTACGTCCTCCGATCGGATGTAGAGGAACATCCGGTTGTAGGCAAAATCGCGCCTATACCGAGGTGTACCGAGTTTTTTGAAAAAACTCGGTACACCTCGGTATAGGCGCGATTTTGCCTACAACCGGATGTTCCTCTGCATCCTTACACCGGACGAAATAAAAGTTCGTTGAAGTGTGATGACTTTTTATATTTTACGTTTCTATTCTTTTTATTTAAAATAATATTATACATTTGTTTGATATGGCTGTAATTTTAATTTTTTTGTAAAGCATTTTATAAACTATTAGAGAAAATTAACCTTTTTTTTTTAGTTGATGTAAAAAGTAGTTTTTAATAGAAAAAAATACTTGAAAGCAGTAAAAAAATAACAGTCAAACTCAAACATAAATTGTGGATGAGATCTAAATGAAACAGCAAGAAAGCTATCCAAAATAAAGCCTATATTAGGCTAAATTTATTATTTCATATCTTTAATTAAAATAATAATTTTAGTTTGTTTATTTAGTTTTGATACTTATTTAATTAATTAATTATTTGTATTGGAATGAACTCTAAAATCTCAAATGGGCCATTTGATTTGCTGAAAAATGAAATGCACAGTAAAAGAAATGAATGTATTTGATTTTTTTTTTTTTTTGAATGGGGTATCCACCTGCTGCACTCCCGAAATGGCGCTTAGCAACGTGACTAATCTTTGGCTGACCTAGAAGAGGCACCCGTCCTAAAAACCTCCTGACTGACCTGTACTTGACTGTGCCCCACTTAAGAGGCATTGCTGCTCTAGGAGAATCAAGCATGGGTTGGAAGGTTCCCAACTGTACTCGTTCATCAATCAAGTTAAGCATCGGTGGGTATTTTGAAATATTTTGAGTTGTTTTGATCAGTGTTAAATAAATACAAGTAACTTTTTTTGTTTTAAGTAAAATAAATGTAGCATAAAACCTCATCAGCCAGTGACTAGTGGTGGTGCTCGACGATGACATTAAAGAATTTAAAATTTATTTAAAAACTGATATAAATTTAATATTTTCAAAATACATCAAAATTAAACTATATAATAAATTTTGAATACTTCACAATTTTATTCTTCATTTTTTTATTTTAAACTAAATATCAATATTTTAAAAAACTTTACATTTAAAATACATTACATTACACCTATTTTACTTCGAATTAAATAACCTCTAAATTTACATTAAATTTTATATTATAAATAATATAATAAATTTCATTAATTTTTACATAAATTTAAATATTTTAAAATTACTCTGATATAAAACACATGTTTCACAAACATAAATAAAATAATATAAGATATTAAATTTAATTTACGTATTTTTTTCAAAGTTTGAACATTTCTACTGAAAAATACCGACAAATTCTGCCACGTTACTATTTCCACTCATCCAACAAGTCAAAAGAAGTGACGTTTCAGCCACTACAAAGCTAAAGTTTGGTCTACTTCGTGCTTGTGGACCAATAAATCTTTGTTCTAATCTCCATTATAAAAAAATGATAAAAATGTTGATAATTTTTATTATAAATGTTAAAATTAGTTTTTATTTATATAAAAAATATTTTAATTCTTCAACTCTTTTAAATTTTTTTTATAGACTTAAAAAT